ACATTAAACATTTTAAAATTATTTATTTTATGCCCACAACTTTTATTTTTTGAATTGTCTATTTTGTTGTTGTTTGTGTTAAAAAATATATATTTGTGCTGATTATTTAACAGGAGTTTTACTTTTAAACTGTAAGTGTATTTAATTTAGTTATGTTAGTTATGATAGTTTAATCATGATGTAAATACAATAAAAATTAAACCAAGATTTATAATAATCATCGTTTTGATCCATACAGTGGTAATGTGTGACTGGGCCTCGTGACATTTTATGTTCAACAAATTGGGCCCCGAGGTCAAAAAGGTTAAGAAGCCCTGGTCTACCACATAAACCGCGCAGCCCTAGTATACAGTTTACTGCACATGAAAACCTTTGACCTGTGTGCAGGAAGAAGCTCATGAATAGGTAAACTCTAAGTGTAAAAAAATTCTGTCAAAATATTTTCTGGTGCTTTAATCCCTGAGCCTTAAACGCCTGGTCTAAGACAGAGAAACCCTCCTGGACTCACTTGTTATCATCAAATGGGTGCCGTGCTGTGAGGTTGGAGCAGACTGCTAGGTTTTCCTTGCTGCGTTTGCTGATGATGCGAGGCTTACTGTCAAAACATTCCTGCAAACAAAAGGATGGAAACATATCTTGTTCAATATAAAAGAACAAATTGAGGGCAGATGTTCTTGTCAGACTGTACCTCACAGAGGAACATGAACATGCCCATGTGGAGCTGCAGCAGTCTGGTGACACTGAGCGCCCGTCGCTCTGTGCTGCCCAGCGGGTCAAACAGCAGCTCTCGGCTCAGAGCACCTTTCCTTTCCTGGGTCCACACGTCAATCTCCTCCTGGCAGTAAGCGAAAGTACAGTTTTCTCCATACTGGCACTCCTGTCGCTCCTGCACCTCTGTTGGATCCGAACAGTATGAAAACCTTAAATATCTCATTACATCTGGGAGCTGAGTTAACTTAAGTAATCTACAACACGTAACTGTATCTGGTTTCTGCATCAAGTTGAAAACATTTTTGATTTGAGTTGGAGGTCATCATTAAGGGGTGTCTAGATCAGTTAAGAATTGCTGCTTTAAATGTTTCCCCACAGGAAACTACATTTCAGAGTTGTGTTGTATGTCCACCTGGAACAATCATATAAAGTTCAGAAATAAATACCTTTACAGAGTACAAATGCCCCCAGAAAATTATTCCTAGCAGGTCTGGGCCGAATTCTCTTCCAAGTGGGATCGTCTGAGTTTTTGAGACGACACAGCAGCACATCTCTCTTACAGCGGTGTGCTGCCTCTGGCTGATACTTATAGTCCATCACTCGTGGGCCTAAAAGCAAGAAACCAGGAGAACACATCAATTACTTATTATAGGAAAATATAATTTAGTTCTGTTTTAATAAAACACTAGAGAAATGCTGTTCTGCCTAACTTGTTAGCAATGAAAGTTTAAAAAGTCAAAGAAAAAAACATTTGTGTTAGCAAAATATCTCATGAACCAGAGAACAGATTTTAATGAAATTCTCAGAAAGTTGGATGTACGTCTACAATGAATTGTTTAGAGTGAACCCAAAAGTTACATAAAAATTGTGAGATATTTACTGCACAACATTTTAAAGGTTCAACCAAAACAACAGATACTCAGTTATATTTATCCATGAAACCTGATGAATCCAACCAGTTATTAAACTACAAGCATGTCTTACAGACATAAAAACATGGATGACTCTTAACTTCCTGCTTCTAAACTCAGATAAGACAGAGGTTCTGGTTCTTGGACCTGAACA